TGCACTGTGATGTTTTTAGTTTTGTGCTTGTGCAAATGATGGAGTCCAGTATGAAAGGACATCTTCTGGCCTAATATAAAGACCACCCTGTTCTCTAGGAGCTGAGCTGTTGACTTCTYTTTTGTACAGGATGCTGTCCATGCTCAGGTGGGTAGTGCCGTGTGGCAGAGGTCTCTTGCCCCTCTGTGACACAACTGCCCCAGGGGCTGGGTCGTATGGAAGTCTTCAGGCTGAGGGGCTGTGGAAATGAGGGTGCAGAGTGAAAAAAAAAATTCGCCAGGGGATGTCCATGGCCAGAGGAAATCCATATCCCTCATGTCTCTGCTGCTGTCTGACTGCAAAATGACTGAAAATGTGTTTGTTCCACCACTCCTCAGTGGTGATCTACAGGTTTCGGGGAGTGCTCACTGTACCTTCAGCACTGCACAGAARGCCATTGGAAAAGACAACTTCACAGTGATACCAGAAGGAACCAATGGCATAGAGGAACGAATGTCTGTCATCTGGGACAAGGCAGTGGTGAGAGTCCCACCAGGGAGGGGGCAGAGTGGGCAGAATTGGCTGACACTTCACACACCCACGCTACTGCCCYGCAGAGCTGGGCACCCAGCTTGTTCGCTCTCTGGCTTTGAGAGTCAAGACAAGCTGGACCAGGAGAGGCAATTAGGTGATTGCCTCTGGGTGAACATCCAGTAGCTGTAACTGTGCCTCCAGTTCTTGGTTTGAATGGCCCCRTTTAGAAAGATCAGCCTCAGAAGCTTTGGCCCAGCCAGCCAGCCCCTTGTGTGGGAGTGAAGATGGTGCTTCCCAGGACTCTTATTCACCCTTTCCCYATAAAATGACAGTTTTCTTTGTGTGTGAGCAGGCCACAGGAAAGATGGATGAAAACCAGTTTGTGGCTGTGACGAGCACTAACGCTGCCAAAATCTTCAACCTGTATCCACGGAAAGGTAGAATAGCRGTGGGCTCGGACAGCGATCTGGTTATATGGGATCCTGATGCAGTRAAGATCATCACAGCAAAAACCCATCAATCTGTAAGTCCTCTGTTCATCGTGTGAGCGCTGAAGGGTGGCGTGTGAGTRGCTTTGTAGAAAAGCTGTCTGGCTGCTGGTGCTTGGTGCTGTCCTACTTGGCTCTAAGGAGAAGGGACTGAGCCCAGGCTCCAGGCCCAGGCAGTGCCAGTTGTGACTGTAGGTAGAATGTCCGTGAACCTTGGGCTCAGCACATGGGACTTTCYTCACCCTGCTTGGGTGTTCTTCCTCCTGACCCTGGCCCATGCAGGTATAAAGACCCACTTCTCCTTACCTTGGTTCTTCTCCCAAGCACAAATATTCTTCTGGCTTTGCCACGGTGCTTTGTATGATGYATGTCATAAAGACCATGCCTTACTTCAAGCCTAGGTCCTGCCTTTGTCTGTTTTTGGAGTACTTTGTCACACACAGCAGGTTCMTGTTGGGAGTTGTAGTGGGTTTCAGCTGTGATGGGCTGGGAGGCCTCTGAGCAGGGAAGGTTGTCCGTGTCTTCTGCCTGCACTGGTGACTCSAGTGGCAAGTGTGGGGACTGACCTGCCCTGAGCGGGCAGACAGTGCTCGTGTCCCTCATGACTGTGATCCCCTGTGTTGCTGCAGGTGGCCGAATACAACATCTTTGAGGGGATGGAGCTCCGTGGGGCCCCAGTGGTTGTCATATGCCAGGGGAAGATCATGCTGGAGGATGGCAACCTGCATGTGACCCAGGGGACCGGACGATTCCTGCCCAGCAGCCCTTTCCCTGACTATGTCTACAAGCGCATCAAAGCCAGGAGGAAGGTGAGGAGATGGGGATGCCAGGAGACAGAGTTGGGATACTGTTAGCCCAAATTGCTTTTTTCCTTAATCACTGGTTGGTTTTCCTTTGCTGTTCTTGCTGGACCCTGTAAGCAGTGCTGCAAACTACTGGTGTATTTTGAATGTACAAAATAGCTGAGGCTTGGATMGGGAGCTTTTCCCTTTATGTTAATGATGTGCTGTTTTGGAGGCAGATGCTCCTCAAGGTCAGCTGTGGTGATGTCTGTTCTTATCCTGTCCTGCTGCAGCAGGAGTGTGGAAGGAAGTGCTGAGATAAAAATAAAAGATATTGGCCAAAATCACCTTCTCCTCTGTTTGTGCAGCACAAACCCCATCTGGGTGATAGCCTGTTGCACTGGCTCTGCACAGCTCACAGGGCAGAGGTGAAGGGTGGGCAGTGGGGCTGTGCCAGGCCTCAGTGCTGCAGGACTTRGAGCACACGGCAGTGTGAGTTCCCTCTGCAAGGGGACCCAGAGGCCAGGGCTCAGAGGRGTGTCACTTTGCTCTTCTCTCTGGTGACAGATGGCAGAGATGCATGCTGTGCCCCGGGGCTTGTATGAYGGACCCGTGTTTGACCTGACCACCACCCCCAAGGGGGGCACCCCTGCGGGCTCCACCAGGGGGTCCCCCACACGGCAGACACCGCCCATCAGGAATCTCCACCAGTCTGGATTCAGCCTGTCAGGTGAACACGTGCTGGCTGGGCTGGAAGGGGACAGAGCCACTGSCTGGGGGTCCCTGTCCCTGGCTTGGGGCAGGGCGCAGTTGGAGGTGGCCTGGGCAAGGTTAGCACAAGAGTGGACCATGGCAGGGCAAGACCCTGTGTGTCCCTTAAAGGAAATATCTGGAGCTGCCCCTTGCAGTAAAAGGGAGGCAGATTGTGGAGACTGCAGTGACTGTGAAGGTCAGCACAGCCTCTGATGCTGTTCTTGCTGCCTGCATCTGTTCACAGAGCATCTGCAGAGATGTTCAAGCCATTGCTCCTCTTGGGGTTGCTACTGGAGTTGGAGATGGTGTGGATTGCAGTAGATAGCCTCAGGAGTGCCTTGGCAAGACTCCAGGCTCCCTGACTGCTCAATCCTATAAAGAAAATGCTCTTAACTTTGCTCCCCGCCTTTCCCTTTGTATTTGTTGTCCTTCCCAGGTACCCAGGTTGATGAAGGCATGCGCTCAGCCAGCAAGCGCATCGTCGCACCCCCAGGAGGCCGYTCCAACATCACCTCCCTGAGCTAAATGTCCCAGCTGAGGAGGAAACAAAATCCCTGTTCAAGCAAAGGAAGAAAAATAGTACATTGGTGTTTAAAGAAGGAAAAGAAATAAACCTGTTCTGAAGAATCAATAAGCCTGAAGCCTTATGTCTCACAGATGCTACTTGCTACCTAGCTTTAAAGATGTTGCTTCAATTTGTTTTTTGCATAGCCTTAAAGTTCTGTTGTTGTTGCTATTGTGGGTTTGGTTGGGTTGTGTTTTGCTCTTCCTCTCTGTATGCATGCTGCTCGGACAGGTTGCTCAGTTCAGTGTTAATGGTGTTGAATGTGTGTGGGATGCCGTGGTGTGGGACAGTGGGGACAGCCCACAGGGTGACCTGGCCAGGCAGGTGAGGGGGCAGGGTCTGGCCAAGGGCAGGATGTRGATTGGGGAGGGCAGGTGTACTGAGCTCGTAGGGACAGGTAGATCTGTGGTGTTCATCTCCTTCATCTCCCCCCAATGCTCTGGAGTTTCATCATGAGGTCTGTGGGGGAGTTCGAATCATCTCTGTAATGGCTGTCACAGCAACTTGTGTAAGGAGTTTTACTACTTTGTACACTTTATTAAAAAAAAAAAAGTTGTTCCTTCAAACAACTCTTGTTGTTGGCTGGCTCYTCTTTTCCTCAGGCTGCTGCTGCTTGGCAGGGGCAGTGCAGAGCTGTTGTGCAGGAGCTGTGCCGGGGCAGCAGGAGGGCTTTGGGCAGTGCTGGGGCTGCAGGGACAGGCTSTCAGGGTGCCACATGCAGTGCTCACTGCTACAAGTGTYGGGAGTGCTGCAGCTGCTCAGGCAAATGGATTGGCAGAACAGCATGTTGCAAGTGTTTGTAAAAGTCTGTTCAGTTTGCCCGTGCAGTCTCTKGCTGAGCGTGGCCTGGCCATGGGCTGTGTGTTGCTGGCAAGAGCTGTGCCTGTTGCCTGTGTGTGAGCAGGGATCAGCTTCACGTGGCACTGCCTGGGCACAGCTTTGGGGTTGTCCTGGCTGGGCAGCCTTGGAGCCTGTTACCTGTGCACTCATCTTAGTTAAATGCTCCCCTTTCATCAGGCATTGTCTGTTAGAACTAGAGGCATTGTCCTTTAAAACTTGCACAGCATGGGAAAAAAAAAAAAAAGAGTATGAGTATTTTTTAAAGATTACAAAAATTAAGGGTCAGTTTTGGCTATTCTAARCAAATATACTTTATTTTTCTTCATTAGTATTTGACCTTGAATACTTACTTTTATGTGCCTGCAGCTTGGGAAGGACAGGCTGTCCCTGCAGCAGTCCTAAGGGCCCCTTTCCTGGTGGTTATTTTCATGGTGATGCTTCTGCCCAGGTGCAGCTGCAGCGCATCAGCCACCCCCGAGGAGCCAACGTGGGGCACCAGCACAGCAAGTGCTGCASTCACAGTCCCAGCAGCCTTTCCTGGAACAGTCTTCTCATCCTGGCACCCCGAGGTGATGACAGCTCGCTGGAGCAGTGGGACACCCTCCCCACACCACTGCAGAAGGGGCCACAACATRGCACACACCAAACTAAAGCTCGTTTTTAGGCACTAAGTGTGCTACTTGGTGCTGGGACGCTTGCTGCATGCCCCTGCACAGACAGATGGACTAGGTGGTATGTTTATCTTCGGGTTAATTGGAGGCAAAGAGTTCATCACGCATTCACTATGTTGCTGAGAATGGGAAAAATGTAAAACAAGGGGGTGAAATCTCAGGCCTGTTAAAGCATTTAAATAACAGCATCATTCCCAGCATTACTGCAGCAGCGACGCTTTGGCCAATCTCAGCCTTGGCAAGACCACACCAACAGTTCCTGAGAACAGCCCTGTGCCCTGCACTGATGGCAGGGTCCCAGCAGCAGAGGACAAGTCCATAGCTCAGCACTGTGAGGGTGCATGGGTGGGTGAGCCCCAATCTCCTGAGGAGGTCTCCTGCAGGGGCTGTGCTGTTCTCAGAGGGTGTTGTTCTGGTTGTCCTCCCTGCGTGTGCCTCCACTTTTTGTCATGGTCTCCTGGATGCTGTCATGGTGGGGTCTTACCCTTGGCGATGGAAAAGAAKGATTGAGCTGTGAGGGAAAGCCCAGACAGTGCCAAGATCCCACAGCAGCCTTGGAGCACCCCACTCCCTCCCCAGTTCCTCCAGCCCTGAGCACCCCAAATCCCCCCAACACTGGTCTCCCACAGCCCTTTCCCCCCTGAGCTCCCCCGACCCTGGCCCCCAAAAACTTGTCAAAGGCTTTGGCAGGGGCCAGAGCTTCTTCTGCTGCCTCTGGATCAAAACTTACTTCTCTCTGTTGAAAACTATGAAGTCCCTCTGGAGCATTTCCAGGTGCTTCTGGAGGTGGCTGGCCTTTCCCATTGGAAAGAAAAAATGAAAGAGATGGGGTAAAAATTCACAGTTGACACAAAAAAACATTGCAAGGACAGTTTCAACGAGACATAAAGATACATGCTCATGTTTAAGCACAGAGCATCTTTAGCCCTGCAGTGGGGAGAATGGCATCAAGGATCTCCTCTTGCAGTAAACCAGTACACATTCTGCCTTTCACCACAGGGAATCTGGGGCACAGTTTTAGGAATAAAGTTGGTTATAAGGAAAAAAAAAAAATATTCAGTTTGCTGTGGTTTGCTAGATGGCAATCATTGAAAAATGAAAGACTTCCTTGACCACGTGCTTGTACCTCCTTGCTCTCACCTGGGATGAATTGCTTTTGCTGGGATCTTTCTCCTTCTTAGACAAGCGCTTTTTTTTTTTGTGAAGAGGTTTGGATTCCAGGATCATTTCTTCCAGTTCAAAGGTTGGGTCACAGTTCAGTATGCCTTTCTGGAGGGAGAGAGAGGTGGCCTTCTGTGATCAGAGCCTGTCTTAAGGAGTCTCTTATAAATTGGACTGCGTCTGGGAGGTGAATTTTGCATGTGCCAGTGCTGAGTGTGGGGACAGGCTGTGGCATGTGATGCTTGGGCACATCAGGAACACTTAAACTCTAATGGCTTTACCATGGGAATGAATTCTGGCATTATCCTTTTGTGGAGAACAGCATCCCAGTTCACATCAGACAGATACGGGAAGGCCTGGATGTCCTTCAGYTGAGAAAAACGTTTCTCGGGGTTCAGTTCGAGCAGCTGCAGCAAGAGATAAAGGGAAGAGGTGAGACCATCCCCACAAGGCACATTCTGTGGAGCAGGCAGAGGGCCTATCATACACATAGGACAAAAAAATACAGTAAATATCCCTGTATTACTGCTCGATTAATGAAATACTGGCTTCATTGACTTTTAAGCAAATGGAGATATTCTTTAATCTTCTTCCTGGAAAATACACTGTGATTCTGTCTCAAAGAATTTACATCCTCTTTTCATTAAAATGTTTGATCGTCTGTTTCATTWGAAATGACAGAGTACATATATATTATTTAAAAAAAAAGCTACATTAAGTACTACTTTATTGCCTACACTTAGCTGAAAATATAAAACTGTTTACACACTTCCCTAAAATTTGCTGCTAGTGCTGCTATGCAAGAGTAAGAGCTCAGCTTTGYTGCCACTGTTAAGCCATAGTCTAGTTTATTGAAGCTATGGCTTCAATATTTCAAATGGGATTTCAGCTTCAAAATTATTCCAGTAATGATTTTGAAGCAATTTTGATAAAAGCTGTAGTGAAAAAAAAATTTCAGTGGTGCATAAACCACACGGTATCAAAGGATTTCAACAGCACTTCTTGCAAATATTTCCATAACTGGATAAAAATGTATTTTGAGGACTAAAAAAATGTAGTTTTGGGGATAAATTTATCGACACATATACCRATATCTACTTCTAATTCAGTTAATTCCAGAGACAAAGTTATAGAGGAGACTCTGGAAGCCAAGGTTGCCCACGCTCTCCGAGGAGGTGCAGCAGCAGCAGCAGTGCAGCCCGGGATGCAGCACAGCAGATCCAAAGCAGCAGCAGCAGTGCAGCCCGGGATGCAGCACAGCAGATCCAAAGCAGCAGCAGCAGTGCAGCCCGGGATGCAGCACAGCTCACAGATCCAAAGCAGCAGCAGCAGCAGCAGTGCAGCCCGGGATGCAGCACAGCTCACAGATCCAAAGCAGCAGCAGCAGTGCAGCCCGGGATGCAGCACAGCTCACAGAGCCAAAGCAGCAGCAGCAGTGCAGCCCGGGATGCAGCACAGCAGATCCAAAGCAGCAGCAGCAGCAGTGCAGCCCGGGATGCAGCTCACAGAGCCAAAGCAGCAGCAGCAGCAGTGCAGCCCGGGATGCAGCACAGCTCACAGATCCAAAGCAGCAGCAGCAGCAGTGCAGCCCGGGATGCAGCACAGCAGACCCAAAGCAGCAGCAGCAGCAGCAGTGCAGCCCGGGATGCAGCACAGCAGACCCAAAGCAGCAGCAGCAGTGCAGCCCGGGATGCAGCACAGCAGACCCAAAGCAGCAGCAGCAGCAGCAGTGCAGCCCGGGATGCAGCACAGCAGA